GGAAGCAGGAATGTGGAAACAGAGTCAGGACTTGAATGTGGTATATACGGTATCCCAAACTGCATTATACTTTCTATGCCAGGGACATATCCCCAAGTGCTTTCAATTTAAATCAGCAAACCCAAGGGCCAAATTCTAGTGTACTGTTATCTGAGCTCCATCATTGGAACTAGTTGACATAAAGTGCTGCAAGCAATGACTTGCACAATTAGTGTCCAAGAAAATTAGTAATTGTCCCTTTCTGTCCATTGTAATGCACTTCTCCTCTGTGTATAACTCCTACAGTTGCAGTCGTTAATTCTTTAAGATCTTCATCATGAAACACAACCTCAGTTCCAAAGTTTTTGTGTATTTTCCATTCTGTGTGCTTTCCTGGAATTTCGTGCATCAGAGTTTGCAAAGATGGTATTTAAGCTATGGCTTTCCACTTACTGAAGAGTCTTCTCTGTCGGACTGTGAGCTCCTGAAAAGCACAGACTATTTGTAATTCTTATTCAGGTCAACGTAGCCCAGTACAATATCTGCTCAATGGTGTCTGATGAGAATTTGGGAAGCCATTTTCCACTCTATCATATAGAGACTGATGAGCTGGGATTCAGACTGTTCCCTGCTACCTGGTCTCCCTGCTTCCGTGCAGCTGTCCTCACTGCCTTTTCCCACAGTGGCTAGAATGACTGGCTCCTGCCCTGAGTCCCACAGCCTCTGTGTCTTCACCGCTTTCCACTGTGTCCTTCGCTATGGTGTGAAGCAGTCCTCTTAGAAAGATAGTGCTTCTTGGGCCCGGCGCCGTGGCACAAGTGGTTAAGGTCCTTGCCTTGCACGCCCGGGATCCCATATGGGCGCCAGTTCGAATCCCAGCAGCCCCGCTTCCCATCCAGCTCCCTGCCTGTGGCCTGGGAAAGCAGTCGAGGATGGCCCAAGCTTTGGGACCCTGCACCCGTGTGGGAGACCCAGAAGAGGCTCCTGGCTTCGGATCGGCATAGTATCGACCCGTTGCGCTCACTTGGGGAGTGAATCATCGGACAGAAGATCTTCCTCTCTGTCTCTCCTCTCTGTATATCTGTATATCTGCCTTTCCAATAAAAATAAAAATAAATCTTAAAAAAAAAAAAGATAGTCCTTCTCCTTCAATTCCTGCTGCTCTCTCCTTGTTGTAGAAAACTTAAGAACATGACAGGTGCCTTTTGTGCTTGCTAATAAGGATGGGACAAGGACACACACTTTAAGTCCTTGGCATAGTTCATAGTCTTCCACCAGAGACTCTTAGACTGCATTTGGAAAGACCATTCTAACCTGTCCTACTCGGCATTTCCTTCCAATGACCTCATCTTCAGAGACAAGACCTGCTAAGGCGGAAACACTTGGGTAAAAGCCAGTCCACTCCAGCTGGGCCTTTGCTAAGTAGCCACACCAATGTACGTAGGCAGATGGCCACCCTCTTTAAATGTATTAATATCTAATAAAATCAGACTGTGAATTTGTTCCCCATTTGCACCTCCTCCCAAACATTTGGTGCACAATTTTCCTAGTAGATTAAAAGAAAAAAAAAATATTTTCACATGTTGTTACTTCAATCTGAAATACTATTTTCTAAGCTTCTTATACTGTTTGCACTTTCACACCCATCGAATCTCATTTTGGATACCGCCTCTTTCCACCAGGATACAAACTTCACTAAGAGAAGATCTGCTTGCTTTTTTACCATGCATATAACTTTCCAAAGTGTCCCTTGCATAGAGTAGCCACCAAAAAGATGCATCTTAAACAGGTGAATACATGCAAATGACATTTTTTGAGAGTAGTGCTCTCCTATATTACAAGAATAATCCAGGAATGGCAAATCATGGATCATGGAATTTAATGCTTTTTTGCGGATTAGAGAAAGAGGAAAAGTTGTCAAGGTATAATGTACCAGACCCCACTTTCTCAAGCACAATGAACAGACCCATGATGAAAAATACATTAATTTATGGACACTCTATTGAACACTTAAAAAATGTTAGGACTGTAGGGCCCTGCATGGTAGCCTAGTGGCTAAAAGCCTCGCTTTACATGTGCTGAGATCCCATATGGGTGTTAGTTTGTGTCCTGACAGCCCCACTTTGTATCCAGCTCCCTGCTTGTGGCCTGGGAAAGCAGTGGAGGACAGCCCAAAACCTTGGGACCCTGCATCCACATGGGAGACCTGGAAGAAGTTCCTGGCTCCTGGCTTTGGATTGACTCAGCTCCAGCCTTTGCAGCTACTTGGGGAGTGAATCAGCGGATGCAAGATCTTCCTGTTTGTTTCTCTTCCTTTCTGTATATCTGACTTTCCAAAAGTAAAAATAAATACATCTTAAAAAAATTAGGAGTTCGGGCCCTGCATGGTGGCCTAGTGGCTAAGGTCCTTGTCTTGAATGCACGGGGATCCCATATGGGCACTGGTTCTAGTCCTGGCGGCCCTACTTCCCATCCAGCTCCCTGCTTGTGGCCTGGGAAGGCAATTGAGGACGGCCCCAAAACCTTGGGACCCTGCACCTGCGTGAGAGACCTGGAGGAAGTTCTTGGCTCCTGGTTTCGGATTGGCACAGCACCGGCCATTGCGGTCACTTGGGAGTGAGTCATCGGACAGAGAATCTTCCTCTCTGTGTGTCTTTCTTTGCAATGAAAATTCATGTTTTTAAAAAATTAGGACTTCTACGAATGTGAGAAATCATAATTAAGGAGTGAATGAATAAGAACTGCCATAGAAAACTTTAAGAACGGACAAAAAAGATAGAGAGAAATTCCAAGAACTTTGAGGTTAGAGTGATGGTTAAGGGAGCCTTAAGGAAGGCTAGAGCCATTCCTGCTTTCCTGAAGGGTGAGAATAATTGGGCACTCTCTATATGAAATCCCTAAAATTAATACTGGAGCCTCTCATATCCTCGGTAGACTCTAACAATAAAAATCAGTTCACAGTTGAGAAATACTCTAGTTACAGTTTATCTCATTTGATAAGGCTGCTGAGTGATACATGGATCCTGCAGAAAATCCACCTCGCACGAGACCTGGATCCCCAGCCTGGATCTGTGTTTCTTAGGAAGAAGCTCTGCCCTGAGCAAGTCATCTCCCCTCTCTGGTTCTTGATTTCCTCTCAGTAAGATGAGAGTGTTAGCCCAGATGGCTTTAAAATCCTGTTCAGTTCATCACTGCCGCAATGTGTAATTTAACTTGTGACAAATCAGCTTCTTTGTCCTAGGAACAAGGCATACAATTTTTACTATGAAATTTCAGGCATCAGTAAATCGTTTTGAATCGTCACTCATTGTCCCAAAATCAAATTATCTGACTGCCCAGGTAGACAGAGAAGGCTCCGATCCATTTTGGAGCAATCTTTTCTTCCTTTTTAATTAGTCTCTCCTCTTTGATGCTAATTGTGTCTGACTCATCGCCCGGGTCCCTCTCGTTTGCACGGACTCTCTCATTCCGAGTGCTGCTGCAGTACTTTCCACACTAACACCAAGAACGGCTTCTGCCTTTCATTTGTTCTCTGCTACAACTCAGGCAAAAGTTGTCCAGGAACTAGTCTAACTGATGTTTTCCTGTCTGCTTGAATGACGGTCTCCTGTTATCTAAATGCATTCTTTGAAGATACGGTCCTTCAGTTTTGTTCTTTTGTTTACCATCTCTTTGTTAGCTTGAACAGTTTGGCATGACCAAGGTCATGAATGGGAGAACATGTGGGTCATTGTTGTTTGCCATTTTTCATTCGATCTCCCCAACATCTTTGCATCTCCTCAGAATCCATCTACTTTTCATGTTTTCCTGCCTAGACTGTTTGCTGTCTCTGTTTCCTTTCTGTAAGGCACAGCTCACTGCAGCTTGTGGCTAGAACTAACTGCTTTCAGAATAAAAGCTGTTTGGGGTCAGACATAGGATTTCATTTCCTCTCTTGTACTCATAGCTTCCCCATATAAACACGATCTCTCCACAATTCCAACGTGAATATCTGTGAGCTGTGACTGTAAGATATGAAACCCCTGCATGATGCTATAAAATATTCATTCTATGGTTCTATGATATTACATGCAAAAGATAGCAATGGATCCGGTGTTCAGAACTAACAGTATTCTTATGTTACTCTGAAGTAACATAGGCGAGATAAGCTGCATATTTTTCTGCCTGCCCATTTCTGGAGTGTTTCTCTCTCTCTCTCTCTTCTAAACGACTTGCATAAGACACGAACAGAGAGCTAATAGAAATCAAAATCTGTATTGGTGCCTCTCTTTCCTCCTGTGGTCCTCTGGCTGCTGTTTGAGGCTTTTAGCAAGAGGCAGCTATGTACTGAAGAGGCTGTCAGTGATGGGTTGAAATCTGTTGTAAATAAGAATTCTAGTGAAGTATTCCACAGTCAGTCGGATGACAGATGTAGCAAATCTATGTTTACTGAGCCAGGCTTTCTGTACTGCTGGGCGTATTCCGTGTGCCATTCAGCTATGTCCCCCCACATCTCTGTGTGTCTGGCTCGGAAAAAGACAGTTTCTGCAAATCACTGCCCTGAAATGATAATTCAATCACTTGTTATTTTGGGGAATTGTGCAGGTCAAACCTTCAGCCATATAGAATGCAATGTTTCTCATGGAGAACATTAGTGTGTTGAGATTCAGTCCCAGAGTGCCCTTAGAATTCTCGCTGACTCCTTTCCTCCCTGCTGGAGGCAATATTACCCCTGATACTGTTTTTACATAAACTCCATATTTTACAACACTGTGGGCTTTTTCACTTTCCCCTTCTCTAGAAATTAAAAGCCTCGGACATCTGGAGAGAGAGAGAGCTTGAGTCTTTTTTTTTTTTTTATCTGTATGTCTGCTTCAGAAGAGGTTTTTCCTGCTTGTCCACTTTGCGTTGCTGATGTATAAGTCCTTTCCTCCTCACCCCTTGCAGGGGCTGGAGAGCCGGAGAGCCGGTTGCTGGTGTTGCACAGCTGTCATCTGATTGGCTGGTGGGTGGCGGCTGGACTATAAAAGAGTCCCCTGCAGGCTGAGGAGCCAGACGCTCCCGGATTCTGAGAGCATCTTTGCTGGGGAAAAGGCAAAGTGTGCTCAAAGCGGAAGCCACAGCTCCTCCTGCTGCTTCTCTTCGCTGCTAGGTGAATCCCACGCAGCTCTACAAGATGTGCAAAGGACTTGCAGGTCTGCCAGCTTCTTGCCTGAGGAGGTAAGATTGCAGCTAACTGCATTCAAGTTTTGCATAGATTTTCCCTGTTAACTTGCAGTTGTGTTAACTAGTCTAGTTGTTTGGTATTAGGATCAATCGGATCAGGGGAAGACCAGCTACCTGTTTGTTTGTTTTTCCAAGAATAAGTTGGTTTTGTGACTTAAGCAGTGTGCTCCTCTCAATTTTGGTACTTGTATGTTGTTTTGAAACCATTCTAATCTTTAAACCCAGTCCTGTAACCAAACTTGTTCTGATGAATTCACAGAGTTTGGAACTTTGCTTTTGTATGTAGCAGGCTGTGGGATTCCTATGATTACTGCCGTTACGTGAGCATACATGTATGAGAATGAGCCAGTGGGCTCTCGGACCATAAACAGCATCAGACAGGCACATTGTTTTCTGTTGGAATTTTAGTATCTTTCACTCTCCATATTATCACAAACAAATGCCACCATAAAATAATTTCTACGCTACCTATCTCTTATCTCTCTTTTGCTATCTATCTCTCGTTCTTGAAGTGTGTTATGTGAGTGATGGCTAAGGAATATTGATCATAGCAAATCAGCTAAGGGTTTTATGCAACAGCCCCTTCTAAAAACATTGCTTTGTCAATGTGAAATGAAATCCAGAAAGATAAATACCAAGTCATTTGCCCTCAGCATTTCAGACATGTCGAAGTAGATGCTTTCAGAAACTCCTCTTTATTAGCTCGTGGAAAAATAAAGTACAGACTCCAAGTAGGTGACGTCACTTAATCTCGTAGTTAAAGGCAAAAAAAAACAAAACAAACCAAAAACAATCTACAGCCTTTTCTTGTCTCCCTGCAAATTTCAGCTTATAATTTCAGAAAGCATAGTCCCTTGTATGTTTCTAAGACATTTTCCTTTCAAGTATTCTCTCAGTTAGACGTATGAAATTGCTGAGAGCTTCTCTATGACGAAGCAGGAAACTTTGGCAGACAGCCCCTAGGAAGTAAGTACCCTTCACCTTCACCATTCATTTCCTCACCGGATGGAGCAAGCTATTCCACACTTCAGTTGTTAACATACATATGCAATTAATCATACAGGATGCAGAAGTGTCAGGAAAAAAAAAATCATGTTCCAGTAAATATTCGGGAGAGGATGGTGCTGGGCTCTGGCCCTGAGGGGTTAAGCGGATGACAGAGGAAGTTCACCTCTAAGTCATCAGGCAGCTGCTCTTCCCCTTTCTTGCAGGGAAATGTCACTCGCCTAGCCCAGTCCCTTCTCCAGCAGTGCCTGAGTCCCCAGAGGCACTCTCCACTGCCCAAGGTCACACAGGAGGTGTGTGAATGAAGAACAAATCCACGTTGCCAGATTCCAGCAGCTTCTGAAATCATTTATGTTTTTATTTTTGTAGTTGCATTATACCATCAGGATGTTTCTAAGTGTATGTTTCATAGCTGCTTATGAGATGAAACAGCGTAGATATTAAAAAGGAAGTGACAGCAGAATATTGTCTGAAAACTGAACCTAAAGGAATGTAGATTTCAGCCTCAGCACTCGAGTTAGCCACTCCTCTTAGGAAACTGAACAGTTCACCACACACTCCATGTTTACCCCACAGTGCAAATTTCTTGCCCTAGTCACATACACGATTGCCAAGAAACATTTAATTTTCAGAGCGTCTTCCTTCCGTGCCTGCAGACAGGTGACAATAGCAACCAACCACCACAAGGGGGCGGGTGGCAACTAGGTGTCGTAGTTTGCAGCTACTGTTTGCTTTCCAGCCCCTAAAATTTCCAATTATAAGTAAACAAGCCGATGTTACCACTTCCATCTCAAGGTGCTGTAGTAAGCCCTTGGTTGAAGCTGGTGTTGGATTCCTGAGAGTTAATACCAACTTCAGTTTCTGTTCTCCAGATTAACTACCTATGACTTGCATACTAGCAGTGGATTTCTTAAGTTTCACCACTAGGTTTTCTTTTATGGAGAGGTGCTTAGCATCCTTAATTCCCCTTCTTCCTCTTTCGTGCAGTGCAAAAGACATGAAGCACCGGCTGGGCTTCCTGCTCCAGAAGTCAGACTCCTGTGAACATAACTCCTCCCACAGCAAGAAGGACAAAGCGGTGACAAGCCAGAGGTAAGAGAAATGGCATGGGTGAAGATGCCCCGAATTTTACATATGTGATGATAGTTCTTTGAGAAAAGAAGGAAGTTATTCCCCAAGTTAAGCCAGATTTGAGTCAAGAGGACCTTCATTTGCATGAAAACCCCAACTTCCTTGGAGATTTCCCCCCCATGTATTTAGTGGGAAAAAAGTCCTAATCAATGATAGCTCTCATCATGCCGATGAAAAGTCTCTACATTTTATTCAGTCTTAGATTTCTTGCTCCAGTTGTTGCATTATGTCACTCACATGATTCTTTTTCTCTGTTAATGTCTCTAGAGTGAGTCAAGAGGAAGTCAAGAAATGGGCTGAATCGCTGGAAAACCTGATTAGCCATGAATGTAAGTCTAACACCTTCTTATATCCAACTCTAACGTGAGAATGCATAGCTGCCCGACTGTTTCAGAAATGAAATATTTTCTTGAAAGAGGTTTCAATCATGAGCAGGAGTCGTTTAATGTAACTGAGTGTAATAGATACCAAACAGAGAAAAGCATGACCTGGTTCCAAGTGTCTTCTAGTAAGGGAGAAAACTGGGGGGTATTTGAACCTGTGCTTTATTTGCAAGTACGACAGCTTTACTTGAACTACAGTACCCAAGTGGCCATCGAATATGATGACAAGTGGTGTTTTTCCTTTGTCACAGGTGGGCTGGCAGCTTTCAAAGCTTTCTTGAAATCTGAATACAGCGAGGAGAACATTGACTTCTGGGTCAGCTGTGAAGAGTACAAGAAAATCAAGTCCCCCTCTAAATTGAGTCCGAAGGCCAAAAAGATCTATAATGAATTCATCTCAGTTCAGGCAACAAAAGAGGTAGGTTTTCCCAGCAGAAAACCTTCTGGGTCTTAGGTGCCTGGAAGTGATATTCGGGGGCATGCATCTTTAAATCATGGGAGCTACAGGGAAAGATTTAGCAGTAGAGCCAGAAACAGTTAAAAAAAAAAAAGTACTTTTATCCACATCATTTAAATAACCTTCCTTATTGGAGATTTTGATGAACCTCATCGGTTAAGAGAAAGAGGAGTTTGCTGGGCTTACTCTGTGCAGAAATGAACCTCTCCTCCTGGAGTCTGATCTTTTTTCTGTTTTCCTTCTTGGGATATCGCAGGGTGCTCCATCCATTACTATTCAGTCCAGAGCATGCGGCCACACCATCTTCCCCAAGGTCGTAGCTGTAATGACGCCTTGGCTTTTTCTCCTCAGGTGAACCTAGATTCCTGCACCAGGGAAGAGACAAGCCGGAACATGCTAGAACCTACGATCACCTGCTTTGACGAGGCCCAGAAGAAGATCTTCAACCTCATGGAGAAGGATTCATACCGTCGCTTCCTCAAGTCCCACTTCTATCTTGATTTGGCCAACCCTTCCCACTGCGGGTCAGAGAAACAGAAAGGAGCCAAGCATCCTGCAGACTGCGCCGCCCCGTTCCCCCAGTGTGCCTAATTCTCTCCGGGGGGTGGATGGCTGACATGCTGAGACTCTATGTTCTGGAAAACTTGAGGCCAGTGCTTTATCCACATTGTAGCCTAGTGTTCATGCTGCCTGCCATGTGTGAGTCACTTTCATGGGAGAACTAGGTTTAGTCTTGGTGTTTGGGAGTTCATCAGGCTGGGACCTGGTTCCAACCCAGCTTTGCCAAGTTCCTCTTAGAATGCCATGTGAGCAAGTATTCAGATAATGGCCTTGGGGCTTGGGGTCTTCAGAGATTGTTGATGCTTCCTCCTCCCAAGAGTTTGAGCTCAAGTTGGTTGGTTGATACATGTCATGTGACATTCAAGTGCACATGTTTTCTGTTAGCCAGCATTTTCTCCAGACTCCAGATATCTGGATGAGGCTAATCTGACATACCTATGTACATGTGTGTGTCTATATACACATGTGTGTTTTTCTGTAAGAATAGCTGGGAGGGAAAGAGCCTAGGTGCTCATAACTGGAGTGTATGCACTTACATGCCTGTTCCGATCTGTGGTCTTTCATACTCATTTGTACAGGGAAAACTGAGCTAACTACCATGTAGGCTAAGAAAGGAACACCAACTGTGGAAAATTGGCTCTGTAAAACTGCATGGGTCTTTCTGGAAAAGTATCCATGAAACTTCATGCTTAATTTAACCACCAGTAGCCTCCGCATTAAGCACTATTTGACAGAGCAAAGACCACAAAAGAATCATACATCGGACTGACACAGGACTGACCTAGGTTGATGGTCATTAGCGACACTCCTCAGTCCCTTAAGCTGCTGGCTCCTGCTCTTTGCCTGAGTGCTCAGGGCATACTTATTAGCAGCTGGGTTGGTATGGGCTTAGGAAATGGAATAATTGAGCTGAATGAAGAAATTCAGTTAAAGTCTTTCTAGCTATACTTGCCATAATTTCCTGGCTAAGCAAGAGTATCAACCGCAAAGGTCCCTGTCTTGATCCTCTCTCCTTCCCCCTCTCTCAATCAAGGTGCTTTTCTCATTTTCGGTCCTGAGAACCGTAGCCACCGGATGTCTCCTTACTTTGTTCTGGTTAGCTGGCATTTCCCCCTGGGAGGGTTGTAGCTCTATGCCTGCGCGTACAAACTGGCATGAGGGAAGAGGCTACATTATATAAAAGGGGACACAGGTTCACAAACCAGAAAGCTCTTACAAGGCAAAATCTTGTTCATTCCATCCCAAACATCAAGACTAACCAAGACTGTAGATGCTTCTTTATAGGCTCAGTGACAACAAGAGAATAAAAGAAAAAAAAGAAGGAATTGCAGAAAGCAAGCAAGTCAATTGTTACAACTACTGTTTGAAACTTTTCAAGGCACGTGAAATACTTGAAAATTTCTCCTTTATGTTATTTATGATGTTGTTTTGTACGATGTTTTTATTATTGTATTGTTTTATAAATGGAGTATAGGCTATTATCTGAATTATTAATGAATGCCCAGGAAGTAATTTTCTTCTCATTCTTCTAAAACTACTGTCTTAGAGAGTGTACGCACACTCGGCACCTGCATTCTTTCTGTGACTTCGGTATCAGTTGCCTGCATGAGCACAATCGTGGCTTCTAAGCCAATGCACTGGGCTGCAGAATAAGACACCAGAGTCTGTGTACCCAAGGCTCATTGCATTTAAGAAGTACAATCACTAATTGTACCTTTCTTACCTCTCTGGCGGTCTTGCTCCTGATGTCCCCCAAAGTTCCTCATCAGTGACCCTCTTTGATATAAACAGCTCCACAATTCTGGTTTTTTTTTTGAGTAACTTCTGGATCCAAACGCATACACTCTGCTGGTCTTGCCCTATTGTCATTGTCATGCCTTTGATATTGTACCTGTACTCACGTATTCCTGTCTCATAAACAGACCTCGGAAAGTCATTCTGAATGAGAAGTAAATTATTTTATGTAATACCTTTTGGAGCGTGTTCTTTCATTGCCTTTCCGGATGGTGCCATTGCCCTTTGCTATGGTGAACTTGCTTGCTCCTGGTCCAGGGAGGGAAGACTCCCTCCACAATGCATGCTTGTTTCTCTCCTGTGCTTTTATGGGCCTCAAAGAGTATCTTTCCAGTGCACCACTTGCATCTTAATAATACGAGTAAATAAATGCTTCGCACAAACCCATCTGCTTGGAAACACATTAATGTTCCTCAGAGACGTGAGAAAACAGCAGGGTGCAGGGTGATTTTAGAAGATGACTCATGCTGAGTTTTATCCTTCCCTTGCCAAACAACTCTGAGCAGGAAGGCAGAAACCAAATACTGTTTGTTCTTCAGTTCCTGCCAGGTTCTGGCTGCCCCTTCTCACCGAACCAAGACAGCTACTAAGCAGATTTAGGGGTTGCAAGTCCTCAAAGAGTTTTCAAGTTTTAGAACCCACCTTCCAGAACAGCGCTCCTGCTTGACATCTGATTGGACAGAGCAGAGAGAAACCGCGGGCACGGGAGGGAGTTGCAGAGGTCAGAGGTTTCTGCACAGACTGCTCCAAATCTAGTCCTCCCTCCTGCTTGTTGTTTTTCTCCGAGAAAGAGGTCACAGAACAATTACATTCAGAAAACGGGTACTAAGTCTATCGTGTCATGGAAGTCTTGCTAATTGGATTCGTTTCCCATTGCAAGGGCCACACATGGTGAAGGGGACAGAAGATCTGGCAATGTTTTTGAGTAGCAGATCTTTCTAAGGAACTAATGAAAACTATGGACTATGTGCTGAGAGCCACACACAAAGAAATGCAAATTTCTCATTCATGCTGGACGCCCCCATGACTATTCATCCTTCTATATACGTGTGTGACACAGAGTTTGTAGTGGTCCTTCTTTGTAGACAAGGGAACTTCAAAACCTTCATGGAAAAGCACTGTGAAAAACAGTGAAATCCATGCAGTTTTTTTTTTTTCAAAATATGCATTTCCCTTGAGCTTTCTGAGGCACTTTCCTATGATGGCATTTTTCTGTGGGTTGCAAGATAATTCTGTCATTACTTTCACTAAGTATAAGCAGCATTCTCTTCCTCTATTTCTCTTATTCTTTCTTTCTTATGGTTGACTATCAAGTAAATAATAAATGTATGCCAAGATAATACAGATCAAGGAGTGTACGGAAAAGCATTACACTAGGTATGTGTTCAGTTCTTTCCTAAGCACTTCATATAAATGACGTCTTAATTCTCAGAGTAACTGTGAAATACAGATGTCTGTCATGACCATTGCATCTGCAAATTGCTACAGACAGGGAAACAGATGGGAAGCTAGAATCAGGATTGTATTCTGATTTGAGATAGGCACTTGGAATGGTATGCCAGCATCTTAATGGAGTCCTAACCTTGATGCAAGTGACGTCTCTGTGCTTTTTACTACACTGAGGCTGGTATAAGTGTGTGCGCATGTGTGCGCAAGTGTGTGTGTCTGTGTGCAAGTGTGCATGTGTGTGTGTGTAACTGTGTGTGCAGCTGACACTGGATTCAGAAGATTCATTCTCATTAATGATGTGTTTGAAAAAAAATTGTGGCTGTGTTGGAAAATATTCCACAATCCAAGGTATCTCTGGTCAAGGCTGTGTCCTGGAACCCAAGGCATGTTATTACAAAGTAGATTATTTAAGTTGGACATTAGGCAGATGGAAAGAAAAGCAAGAAGAAACTGGAAGGAACTGTCTTTAAGGAAAGATCAACTACTCCTCAGCATAGGCCAAACACACGAACAGAAGAACTCTCAGAATGAAGCCAGCCAAATCAGCCGCTCAAAAGCAAAGTCCAAAATCCGAATTGTTCTATTCATTTAATTTGGAGACTGATTTCAATATTTGAATCTGCTTTTTGTTCATTAATCCAAGTTGGTTGAGTAGCTTGCCTATTGTTTTAACATACATTACTTTGTTTTTAACATCTTGATGTCACACAAGAATATAGTGTTTTACTTTTCCTTTTCATAAGATGAGAACGGAAAAGATTGAGTGAAATAGCCTTCTCTCTCCCCTCTCACTAGCTCTCGTTAAATAAATTATCTAGCCTTCTCTGTCTCTCCTCTCTCTCTCTCTGTCTCTCTATCAAATAAATTATCTAAATTTTTTGTTAAATAGAAGTGTTGAGATCAAAATCAGTGGGCTGCTCCTAACAGTTATATAGAAAGGAACAAAAGGAAACAAAAACAAAACAAGTAAGTGAAAAAAAAAAGAAAGAAATGGCAAACAGGCAAGAGGAGAAGGGAAAGCAGGGACGATGAGAGAGAGAAGCAGCAAAGGCAAGAAAGGCTCACGCTGTAGAGAAGGACAAAATGCCCACACTTGTCAGTGCATGTGTCTCATGTTGGCTGTGCCCATCCTGGAGCGCTGAGCAGCAACTGGGTTCTCCCCACATCCCGCCTGAGCTGGGGCGTCTCCCCAGGAGTAGAGGAAGGCGAATTTTGGAAGCACGGTATAGGCACAAAGCACAGATTCCTCCATCACTTGTATGTTGTTACCTTTTCTTTGACTAAATGTGCCAAATCCTGAACAGAGGGAAAGTGTTTTACCTGAAGGAAGCAGAGGCATCAACTCTGTGTTTTTGACTTACTGCTGCCTAGGGCTGCGTGAAACATGAAATCAAAGTCACTAGCTCCTGTAGGAATCACACTGTTGGGACCCCAGCTGGAAACCAGCCATTTGGTGCCGGTCACATTGCTCCTACCTCCCCATGGGAGGGCAGCCGGCGGTGACCACATGCAGCCTGGGCTCAAGGGAACGGCCCCCACCTCTCACAACAGCAGTCTGTTTAAGGCAACAGTATGTGCAAGTTACTAGTGAGTTAGAGCGTGGGAACTGTTGATCAGTGACCTAGGATGAACGGCTCTTAAAGGGGTGATTTCAGGACACCGCATCGGAAGCAAATAAAGCAAGAATTTTGTTGACCTTTATTCAAATATTATTTGTAAAATTTCCCGGTTATTTCCCCAATCCACTTAGCCCTTCTGTAGCTGTCTTCTCCCAGGCCAATATATCCTTGCGAATATTTCCTCAGTAACAATACATTGTGGGAAACACATTGTGACGAAATCTCATTCAGATTAAGACCTGCTTATTTTTTTTTCCCCCTCTCTCATCCCTGGAAGATTTATCTTCACCTGTCCCTGTGTAGGACCTTGCAGTTTTTGCTGTTCCTTAAGTCTTGTTAATGGTTTCCTGTCTTTGGAGGTGTAGCAAGGATCCATGGTTAGTACAGTCCACAAAGTTAACAGCAACTGTAGTGCCTTCTCCTCTCCTCCTTCCCTTAGTGATGGTCCTAACGTACAGGGAGTGAGAATGCTGCTTGAGTCATTGCTTTTGCTCTTCTATTGGCTTTTCTGCATGCAATTCAGCACCCTCAAACTCCAAACAACTGCCAGTCTGTTTTTTTTTTTTAATGTAATTTGATCTATCTCATATTTTAAATTTTCCAATCCTCTACTCTGTAAGCTGGCATTCAAGACTTTTCTGACCTTGAAATATGTCTAGCTTGGAGACTCATCTCCTCTGACTGCCCCCCAGGAACCCCACTACGAAGATTTGCTAGTCCTGACGCTGCATGTTACTAACTGCCTCTGCCTTAGTCCAGGTGCGTTTTTGGTTTCTCTGTTCAGTTCCCATTCTTTCTTCAGCTCAGGACCTACTCACACTGAGAAACCTTCTCCTACTTTGTGGTATGATTTGTAATGTCCCTTTTTGAGCTTCCCATACGTCTCTGGTCCTTTGGCCATTGATGTTATATGGCTATCTCCCAAATCAAATTACTGGTTTCTTAAAGTTACAGATCATCTCTCGTCTGATTTCGGCACCAAGCGCTGAGCCTCCCGTGTAGTGGGGCTGTCAACTGACTGACATCAGGTTTGCATATCCCTGAACATAAGCAAGAAATGATCTGTCGAGTTCTTCCCGGCTTCTGAGGGCTTCGGCTCTGCTGAGTGTCTCTGCCATGTAATCCTCTTTACACTCAATTCTGTTCTTGCCTTTTTGCTCTGGAAAAGTCAAACTTTTCTCCCAGCCTCGAAAAAATGAGAATCTGGAAGTTCTGATTAGGGCCACTTCAAAGAGAAAAGATGATGTTGAAGGTATCAGAGTGCAAACATTATGCTCAATTACATGGTTTTTTTTTACATATAATTAAAGTTGATTTTTATAATTGCATATGTAAATAAATTGGAACACTACTATGTATAAATAACCGTCTCATACTCATATTCACAGCATAAAACCACTCATATTTATTGTTTATGTCCTAAAGCAACTTTATTTGCATTAGCTACTTCAATACATGTAGCAACCACACGACAAAGAAACACTAAAAGTGATTGTCTCCATCTTAAGTTGAAAAACTGAGGTATAGAGAGTCAAGAACCTTGGGCAAGATGCAATGCTCATAAGCAAAGAGGCCAAAGTTGGCTTCAGGATTCAAGTAGTCGTGCCAAAGGGCCTAGCTACATCTCACACAAGCCCAGGTCTGTTCAGATTGGGATCACTCAAAAAAGTGTTCATGAACTAATCCTTTTTCCATCCCTACTAATTTCACATGTTGTCGCTTTGAGTAGCATGGGGCACCTAGAGTGGGTGGAATGACCACCTTTCATCCAGACTGAGTGGTCACCAGTGGCTTCCCCTTCCTCGGGGAGGTAGGTGCAATATGACAGATACATTTTTTTAAATGTCTGTGAAAGTTTCTTCTGCGCTTCTTATACCATACTCACTTGTTGGTATTCTGTTTCTTGTCATCTGCTCAGTTTCCTGCAAATTTCTAAATAGCTTACTTTATACCAACTCTTCTACCATTCGATTCCTTGTTTCCTGTAAACTCTCCCCTCCCAATATGTATAAAATATTCCTTCTGTTAGAGTGATACTCAGTATTTATAAAACTAAATCTGGATCAGTGCTGAACTGCCATCTCAACACAGTCAGCTCACTTAACTGCCTCCTTGATTTTTATGACGCCATTGATGTCTGCGTTCAGTTCAAAAAATTATTCTGGATGGCAGGTGGTGCAGCTTCTGCACCTGCCTCTAATTCTGCTCCCTGAGTTATGGCTCTTCAGCACATTAATTGAGAAAATAAGTTGGATATTCTATGACATTAGCATTAAAAATGAGTGCTGAAAATAGGCTTCCAGCACTGTTTAT